TTTATGAATATGCTAGTACTTTACTGCAGGTGGATGATGTTTTGTTATCCTCTAATTTTATTGTATTTCATAACTGCATCATAATGAAATTTTCCTATATCCGAAGTGATACTTTGAAAAAAAATTGGGTTTCAATGTTTCTGGTAAGTTTAATATGTATATTTCATGGTAGAAAAAGTTCAGAGTTAAGTTATATTTTGTAAATCTATTTTCAAGAATTGATAGGAAAACCACATTAATTAATGTAACACGAATAAAATTCTCATTGCACAATGTCATTATAGATTAGTTTTGCCTGTATATTAACCAGAGAAACAATTTGCATTTTCTAAAGACATTATATATTTATAATATACATAGAAAAAAAACCCTCAAGACAATGATTTTTTTTCCATCCTGGCTCTGACTATATCAAATCATCCTGGATCCATCACTGTTCTTGTATCTTTTGAATTCAGTAAAATTATTTCTAGTTTTTTTTTTAGATATTCAGGTCCACATACTACTGTACCATTTTCTTTGTGTCAGTGTATAGTAAAATACACATTACTGTGTATTTGAAAGGCAAACATCTAAAGCAATTGAAATATGCACACAAATATTGTTTGCTCAACAACCAGTATATTGTTCAGATTTGTTTTTACCACAGTAGGATAATGTAGCATATGTTACCACAATAGAAATATCTAATCATTGAAAACTCCTCCCAAAACGCTTATGCATTACAAGTGTGTTGCGCATTTAGCTACTTTTAGTATTTTGATAGCATTTTTCTTGCGGCAACATGTGTTGCCAATTGGGCTATTTTTTAATGTTATCTCGCATTCTTGCGGAAATCTGTGGTTTTAGATGAAAACCTAGAACATTCAATGGCCGAGCAATCGCTGTAGTTTTTTGAGTACGCGATTATCTAATTCTACCTTAGATGCTAGTTCTAGAGTAAGTTTGAAACATTATGTTGTTTTATTAGATGGTTCTACATCTGAAGTTATTATCATTAGATTGCTTTGTGCAGTTGTATACAACATAGAAAAAGTAGGTCACGGTGTGCTAAACGTCATGTATCTTAATCCTATGCGACGATGCACTGTTGTTTGGGAGGCGGTAAATCTAGACCTGTGATATTGAACTGTTTAATCTAGTTTAGTTCAGTTTTGTGTGTAATTGAGGAAATATATATACTTGTATAATCATAATGAGCATGTGTCCAGCAGAAATATGAATACCAGTCAATAGCATTACAGTTAATAGAATACGTGGTGTAATTGATTGTAATATCACCGCGCCGTAGTTTAAAAGGTCTGAAAGTATATTGAAGTTTCCATCACATGTGAGATGGTCACGCTTGACTAGGCATGGATGTATAGTCATCGTCTGATATGCTATGTACACGGAAGCCGTGGCATATTGCTATGTTCTATTGTTTTATGCATAAACCTTGATTTAAGTTATGTTTAACATGTGTAATGGGGATTTCTTGTCTTAGGGGATATGGAATTCAAGGATAGCTGCTAAGGACCGTGTATTAGGTCAGACAAGCCTGTAGAAGTCGACTAGTCTGTGAGTTCATATATTTCAACATAATATGTATAATTAATCATATATTTAAATCGTAAATGATGAAATGTACACTTTGAGAATCAGTCATTATTTCATTATATTTCTTTGTTATTACAGTTTTTACCCGTTTGATTGGCATGATAATAAACGTACGTACAACTTCAAACGTTGGTGACGTGTTTTATTGCTGAAAGGGTTTAACACGCTGGATAGAGGGTGCCCCGTTTCCTCGAGGCCAGCACAACAAGCACATGACCACCTGATGCTCACAGGATTCGGCGCTCTCTTGAATATCAGGCAATACTGTATGACTACATTACATTATTTTTAAACACTTATCATGCAAGTTTTATGCAATAAATATTTATTGTTTTTTTGCTAAGAGCAGTTTATAAATGTCAGTTTTGTAAAAAAACAACATTTATGTACATAGCATATCAAACAATATTTATTGTTTTTTTGCTAAGAGCAGTTTATAAATGTCAGTTTTGTAAAAAAAACAACATGGTGTTCTGAGCGGTTGCGCGTTGCTGCTGGGATAAGCCGTACAATTCCAATTTTTTGTTTTTTGTTTTTACTGAATTTACAGTGTGTGCTAGGCTTGTAATGGTAATTTAATGGAAGGATTTGAACCCAGGACCTTGTTTGTTACAGAAGGCGACCATTCTTCTTTAACCACAACTAAGCTCTAAGCCTAGTAGTAATCTATTCCCCAAGCTAGCAGAGACCCATTTCCCAAGCTACAGCTGTACACCTTTTGTAGAAGTTAATAAAATAAAACGAAAATTTATAGGACCATTCAAACCTGTCATAAGAGCCGCCCTGCTCGGCGTGCAGAGGGAACTTGCGGTTAACCACTGTGTGAAACGAATGCCCTCGGCTGCAAGAGTATCGATAGCACCATATTCTTGTGTAGGATGCCCGTAGGAAGACAGATCACCATACCCAAGATCGTCAGCCATTAAAAGTACAATATTTGGTTTGTTAGTAACTTCACGAGATTTAATTTGTAAAAATAAACAATAGAGTAAAATTGCAACCAAATAGACCACTCGACACTGGACAACCATTGTATCATTCGTACCGTACCGTTGCTCGATTTTACTTTTGCACGCATGGTTTAGTTTGGGGTTCTTGCTCTTGATGCTTCTGTAGACTTCTCCACAGACTTTACGTCCATTTAGAAGAAAGAAATATTTGAGATGCAACTACTGGAATAGAGACTAGGCCTAATTAAGAATCGTTAGTTGCAAACTTTACGAAATGTCGGTTGAATATTATCAGAAAGTTAAAGAGTTACAACGTTTACAGCACGAAAAGTATGCTTTTTTACGATGATGTAATATAATTAGGACATTAAGGAAGCACTTCTTGCGTCTCTTTCGAAAGACACGAGACTAACCGAAGGCCAGGGCTAAAAACACTACCCTACTACTCTAAGATTCTAAGGAGTACTCGCCTAGGCTAGGCCCCCTACCTTACCTAGGGTTTCTAATTAATGGAACCTGTAGCCTAGGCCTCAAGTTATTTCTTAGGCATAGATAGGCCTAAAAGTACTACGACTGCTTGGGGCCTAGCAAAGCATAGGCCCTAGGGTTTCGGTGGTGGCAAGAACGGCCCATTATTAGTCACCATAAAAAGAAATAAGAATATTGCACCTATCGGAATGCCAAAATATTTGTCAAAAAAAGGCAGTTAGCTTTTGTACTGTAGATAAATATATATAGGGCCTAATAGCCTATTTATTATAGCCTAGGAATAGGCTCTAACTAGGGTCAATCCTAAATAATGAATATGAATGATGACAGATACTGACAATATAGCCTAGGCTATTAATAGTCCTATATTCCATACTATAAATTTGTTTAATTGCGTGGAGAATATCTAAAAAATCAGGTCAAATTTGCACGGAAAATTGCTAGGAAAATAGGTGTGCGGAATCGTAATTGCTGCATAAATGCATTGGATATATATTAAGATTTGTTCAAAGCCTAATTTTCGGCAAAGTTTGTGCAGAAATCGGCCCTTATTTTCAGAAATGTGCGGACAGATTTCTAGGCCAAATTTTTGCGCGGAGGATATATATTCCCAGTGCAGACCTTTCTATGCAGTCTGGGGCCTATTCTATATCAGCAGGGGTCCCAAGTCTTGTGGGAGTCTCATCATTATTGGTAGATGAATATGAATGCCAGAATGTCTGTAAAAAAAAAGGCAAGTAATTAAATAGATATAGGTAATGTCATAAAATGGATATAGGCCTGGCCAATATCAATATCTTTGTGTCAAATTTAAAGCAATGCAGTTCATTATTGGTACTAGAAGAATGTGATGTGAAATCATGGTTCATTTGAACTTGCAGGGAACAGGAAAGAATGGAATTGGACCAACAACTCAACTCATACTTAAAATCAGGGAAACAATTGTAAGTATAAGTTCAGATTTAAATTATATTCTTATGTTCTATTATTACATTTTACAGTATATGCCTTTATTGTGAATTGGAAACTACTGTTGAAATACTGTAGCTTATTTTCATACAAATTGTAAAGCACAGCTTTTTAAAAATAATAAACGAACATGATGAAAAAACCAGTAAATTTTTTATTCACTTGGCCTAAGGCGACACTCTTTTTTATACCTTGTTTAATGAACCCACTGCCTGTCACTAATGATGATTTGGAATAAAAATGAAATTTTATTTTCGGCCAATTAGCGCACCTGTTGCTATGACAAAATGGAAATTTCAGAAAAAATTTTTTTTTACTTTTATTATGCCTGCCTCTGCCTTGAAATCTCCAAAAATAAGATATGTGTATTTCTTCCTAATTATATTATACATTTGCCTTTTCCAACAAGGAGTACCAGTGGGCACCTGGTAGTTGCGAACACAGCACTGAGTACTAGCTGCAATATTTATTGAATTCTCCCCAGGGAGCTGAGTATGTGTTCCCTACATGTTTTATCCAAATACTGGGGTAATAATGTGACACGCTCAGATGCATTAGGCATGAAGCACTATATAAGACCGACATATTATTATTATTAAATAAATTTAAAGCATTTAACCATCCCATTACTACACAGTTTACATTCACAAATAATATTTTATATTTATTTTCTCGTCCATCTGGATGTTTTTGGCAAAACTCTTTGCTAAATGAAAAACCAAAACTATATTTGTGGCAAAGACAAGCCAAACCAGTCACTTGTCGCAAATCGTGTTCAGAGATAATGGCCAAAACATGCCGAAATGTCAAAATTTTTAAAATCTATTTTATTGCACTAAACTAACATTTATATATCTATACATCATGCTATGCTGTTATTTTTTTTAAAACAACAATTTTTAATGATTTGGTGATAATCTTTGCATGAGAAATGCCCGAAATCATAAACTTTGAAGGCTGATTTCTCAAATACTGTACCATAAACAACTCTATGTTAAATTCTTGTGACTTCATAAGGAAATGTCGGATTTAAAAGATTTTTTTACCATTTTGTAGCTCTCATTTTACTCTTTAACCCTGTATTAATAATTAAAAATGGATTTTTGCGACCAGTGACTGGTTTGGCTTGTCTTTGCCACATTTTTAAATATTTTTTTCGCCCCACCTCTGATGATCTTTAAGAAAAAAGTTCTCAAAACAAGGTATAAAATAAAATTGGCACAGACTTGCAGTTAAGCTAGTTACATGTATACAGAAGATTTGTTATTCAACAGTGTAGCACCTTGGTTTGTTTTATGCTGTGTTAAGGCTAACTCAGACAGCCTCGTACAACACAGCCTTGTACGATGCAGCCCAACGCAATTTGTTCTCGGGTCTGTGTGAGTTAAGCTTCGACGCATAGGTTTGCGTTGGGCACAGTTGCATCGTAGAATATTTAACATATTTAATATTCTTATGACGGCTTAAGACTGTTCCACGGCAATGAATCGCATTGGGCTGCACCTGCGACGCTGTCTGAGTTGGCTTTTAGGGGTTTAAAAAATACAAAGCTCGTCTTGTTATACAAAAATTTCAACTTTTAACAGAACCCAGTTTAAGGCAGCTAGACTTCAAACCTACTGGCAAAAGATATGCGATGACGAACGCAAAAGTCGTGCACGTAATGAACAACTATTGCAGGAATTCCAACGTGTGCAAACTCATATGGACGCCCTCTCAGTGAGAACAGAGAGGCTTAGAATGCTTAAGGTACTATGCTGTTTTTGTATATCATTTATATCACTTGCCATTTAGGAAAGTCTAAACATTGTCAGTTGTCCCCAACATTCATAAGCCTTGTTGACAGGATTTTGAGTGAAGTAAATTTAAATGATCACAACATTTATTTGTATTTAATAGGAGCAATATGAATTACAAGTTGAGAAAATGTATCCAAGGTGGAAAGAAAAAATGGAACTTGAGCAGCAAAAACGAAATAAAGTAGAAATGAAGGTGAGGAGGATAAGTAGCCACTGGCTTATTCAATAATAACTATCAAGTTGGAAGCTGCTTAGCAACAGTGTCCATCTTAATTCTTCTGGATGCTAGGTATATATCCTTTATTATCCTCAATAGGCCCCCAGCCTATAGAGCAAAGATGACAGTGCTTCATAAAACAAATACAAAGAGGTTCAACCTCATGTGTGTAAGGAGATACACTCACTGAAAGATTGTGCAAAAACAAATATTTAGTTTTTATTTTGACCATGCGATTATCGCCTAACAGCTTGCCAACATTTAATATTCAGTTATTTTCATATATCATATATTTATTTAAAAGTTTTTTTTTCTGCTTATTTATAACTACAATGCATGAAATGAACAGCATTTTTTTTCTTTACATCAAGAAAATGTTAAAAGCAATAAAAAAAATTTAAGTCACATTTTCTGTCACATTCTTTGCCTTTTAAAGCAGATATATAAAACCTTTGACAGATAATCTGCATACGACTTCCAAAACAAGTTGAAGACAGTTGTGTGTTTACAGTAGTTGAAAGTAGATTAGTGTTGGAAATGTAATTCCTCATGGTGAGGAAATTTTCTGCATTAGAGGATATTGTACATTACCTGAATTTAATGGAGATGGTAGTCTGTAACATTAAATTGGTTATGGTGCTTTTGGAACCAGGCTGGTTATCTGGAGGTTGTGGGTTCGATTCCCACCCGAATCACTTGCAAATTTTTTTCCTAAGTATTTGGGGATGTACTGACTATTTGTTACGATAACATGTCAGGTAGGGCAAAACATCACTCCTAAGACATTAAATTGTTAATAAACCCTATTTAAAATACTTATTTTAAATTTTTAATTCAGCATTTGTCATGATAGTAAATGATAGGAAATTTGACCTGATATAGATATGGAAAGATAATTTAATTAAGTTTATTTATTTTTTTCATTGATTACTAATAATATTGGTTAGAATTAATATAACATCCTAAATTTTTGGCTTGCAGAGTGATGGAAACGAGTATCAACGTCTAAACAGACTTCGGTTCCAAAGTACATTTGCAGATTCACCGTTGTCAGGGCAACAAGGGATTCCCACCATCCACTTGCAAGTTCCTCAGCCAACGATTCTTCAATCATCTGTAAATGGTGTACCTTATGAGCAGCCCTCCATAGACTCTTACATATCTGGAGAACCAGATATGCAATCAGAGGAGCCTGCTTATCTCACCAGTAAGGTCTCACCAGGTTTTTCGAGAGCACAAGAATTTTCCAAAAATGCTCATGCCACAAATGTTTCACGAGATGATTCCAAAGATGATGATTATGCCTATGCAGACATTTCAAGTGACAACTATGAAATGCCGATATCTGCTTCAAATGGCTTGAAACAAATTCCTTCTAGAAGACATCATGATGAGAAGATTTCAGTAGATGCTCCTGCCACAGTCATTTCAGTTGATCAGAAACATCCAACACAATTAGTTTCAAGTGCCACTATACCGAACAACAACTTTGATAAGATCAAAGAGTCTGGACTCAGCTTGTCTTCAGATTCAGAAAGTGCCTACCATCCATTAGACTTCAGGAAATCTGGAGATCCATTGAGTGTTGTCAAAGGAAACAGTAGTTTGGATTCTGAGAAAAATGGAACACATCACCGGCATTCTGGTCCAGCACTTGCAAGGCAACAACCAATTGAGAGTGATGTGCAAGACTATACACCTGATGAGGTCAACTCGCCTGTGGCCCCAGAATCTTCCTCAACACTGTTTACTTCTGACACCGACCATGAATCTGACAAAAAGTCTAACCCACTCATGAATGAAAGCGTACAAAAGAAAACAGATCATTTTAAGCAGGACACTGTATTCATGAGAGGTAGGATATGAAACACTTCTATGTGACAAAAAATGTTGTATGCCCATATACAGGCATGATATGCCTATATATGGCAATGTTGTGATGTCATCATGACCATATTTAGGCAATTCACATTTTTTTGGTTAAATTTTGATAGGGACACAGGGCTTAAGAGAAAAAAAATATAGTATAGTATATGCCAAGCTGAGATATACTTTGTCTCATTCACATTTTGCTTAGACCATTGTTTTGTATTTTTATTATAATTGATCTTTTTTTAGGCTACCTTTTGCTACAGTATTATTTATCAAAGCAGTCATTAGATTTTATCTATAATGTGGCTTCTTTCTTTCATTCAAATATTGTATTTTCTCTTCACCAGAAAATTCCAATCTAAAAATTGACAGTGACAGTGAAATTGGAAGTGATACCAGTTTGCCCCTGTCTGACGATAATTTAAAAACAACCGAGCAAGAAAATAAGCCTAAGTTAAGGTAGGTAGTCGCACTCAGTGACCTTTCCTATATTTGCCAGAACTCTGATATCCCCCCTACATATTGCTCTTCTTCAATTTTGATCCTGTTCTTTGTCTTTTTTTCACCTGCCTCACACATTTTGACTCTCCTATCTCCTATAATATATAGCACTAGACCAGAGACAATCACCTATCAATCATAAAATGTAACAAACAATTCTATATGTCTTTCATAATTGAAAAGTAATTAGTTGTTTTTAAGTCTTTTTTTTTCTTCTAACATATAGTGCTGAACCTCAAGATCCTTTGGTAACAACCGATGGACTATGGCATATAATCAAGGCAGTTGAAGTTGAGATTGACGAAAGCGATGAAGTTGATATGATTTACAACGCCCCCATCGGAACAGAAGCCATTGTAGCTGAGATTGTGAAGTAAGCGACAGTGACATGAACAATGTGGGAATGGTTGGTGCAGCCTTCGTGGTTTTGAGGTCTCAACTTTGAGGTCGGGGGTTCTAATCCCATGATGCTCCCCAGTCTGATAAGCTTGGACCTCCGTTCGCTTGATGATATTACTAGGTTGTCAGACTAAAAATATTAATTTGTTGTTGTGCTGAGTCTAAGACCAGTCCAATCCTTAATGTTGATATCAACCATAGTTCCAGACCTTCCTCTTTGTCTTTTCCCTTCGACTTTGCCTTGTAAGATGATGTTGCTTAATTCACTAGCACTCACTCAAGCTACGTTTCCAAAGTATTGGAGCTCGCCTTTCTTGATATTGGTTAGTAAACATTCCCCTTGAGATATTTGTGCCTGAATGGATTCATATTTTGTGTCTGAATGGAATCATAGTCCTCAATCGACTTTTCAAAATATTATGGTGTAATTGCACAATTTTGGACATTTGTAAATCATAAAATCACATGGGATTTTATTCTCCCTTTCGAACTTGTTAGCATGTCTGTGTCAGATTTCTGGAGCCACCACCAATTTGTTTAAATTTTATGTTGGATTATGTTTATGAAGTCGAATCAGCACTAATCAATCAATAAATCTCTAGAATTTATATTGCGCCAGATATAAAGAATAAAAATCTGCTGAGTAGTGAATTGTATTTTGGCAGAATAATTTAGAGTGCATTAAATGTTAATGACCATACAAGGTAGAACAAGAATGAAAAACAGAAAAGACAAGAGTAAATAGTAAAATACAGATGTCAGCATTAGAGAAGGCTAGCAATACTAGAAACAACTTGGCCCTAACTTACTCTTGTTGATCACAATTACAGGGAGGCGAATGCTAACAGGAGCCTAAAGCACCTAAATCCCAACACTATGAGTATGGTGATACTAAGGGAGCTTCCCCTTATCATACGGAAGTCCAGTGGCGGATGTCTCATATCAGATAAAATACTGACTAGTAATATGCCCTGTGGAGAGGCCACTATAAGGTAGGTATCTCATGATGAATTATTCAGATTATAAATCTTAAGTCATTATGTGTATTCTGTCTGCAGTGAAATTAAACAAAAAAAACCAAAAAAAAACATCCAAACAGAGAGCGATCAATTGTTGCTGATTTAGAGACTATTAACTGAAAAAATCTTTTAAATTTATTACTATAAAAAAAAAGGAATGGCCATTATTTACATTAATTATGTGTCTGTTAATAGCAAAGGAAAATAATTTAAAAGCTCAGAAATATGCCATAAGCAATTCAAATATTGAGTTAGGTTTTTTATTTTGATTAGCTTAACACAGAAGATAGTACACAATAGCAGCTTAGCTCAGCCTTGATTACTGTATGTGCGCTGAACTTGTATTCTTGTATCTTGTACATGTTTTTACTACTGTATTATTATCAATTGTCTCCCAGCAGTCAGGGCAGTAGGGATGAGTATCACCATGTGTCGTGAGTGGATTTCCCGCACGATTAAAAATCGTCACGGTACTGGGTTTGGTCTACAGGAGTTCGTGGTTCGAACAGATCATTCCATTCATAGAAAAAGCCTTTTGATGAAGAAAGTGTACCTTTTTAGCAAGGAGAAAAGTCGAAACTAAGTATCACCATGGAACAGTGAAATTTCCCTCGTATTACCATGTGCTGCCAACTAAAGTTAGATAAGAAAGGTCATTTAAACAGATCTCCCAGAAGTGTCTTTTTCCTGCTTGGGACCCTTGTGATACATTGATTAATTGGTAGAAACAATCGCTGAATGTTTTAGTTTACAAAATTTTTAATAAGTGATGTGAATATTTAAGATGACTAAATTTGCTGTGAATCTTCGCAGATCGTATATGTACTCGGCATCATTATCAATATGGGACAGGCTCTTACAGCACTTTGCTACTCTGCTGCAAAGGGAAGCCTTCAGCGTTGACAAAATTGCTAATACATTTGCACCTCTGATGATTAAGGCAGAGAGCGTGGCTACTTACAAGACTAAGGTAATGTTTGATATGTGACATGCCTAAATATGGTCATGATGACATCACATCATTACCATATATAGCAGGGGTGGGCATAAAATTTGCCTGGAGGGCCAAAGTGAATTTTTGATTTAACACCGATTGCTGCACTGCAGTATGCTTCCAAAAACCTCCAAGCAGTGATTTTACACTACTTTATTCCCAGTTTTAATATACAGTATTACTTTTTACAGATGATTGGTGTCGGGCCGTAAAAAAGTGTTTTCATGCCAATGTTACTTGGCGGTCCGCACACATAGGGTTATTAGTTTATTTTCGCGGACCGCAAAAATATTGCTGTTGGGCTGCATGCGGCCCGCGGCCCGCACTTTGCCCACCTGTGCTTAACCATTTAATAAGGTAATTTTAGTTAAAAGGAAACTCAAGTTACTATGTTTATGAAAAAAGCAAAAAAACTCATTATTTTACACCAGTGGGAAAAGGAAACTGAGAATCATTCATGGGTAAAACTAATTAATATACTAATTTATTTATAAACAATAATAAGCCTTGGTTTTTTATTATTAAATTGATATTATACGATAATAAGATTATAAAATTTAATAGAATTATAAGAATTATATTGCACTTTAATTATTGTGTCTAAAGCATTCTTGACAATTCATACACGAGCTGACTATGATCGTTGATTCATTTAATGCATGGATCTCCTATTAAAGTGGTGATGGATATGCTACTTTAGCTGTTGATAAATTGATTACAATTAATGTAACTGCATATGTAAGCTTGCGAAAACTCCCTATTGATGTAATACAGTACTTACGTTGAAGTGGTTGGCGCATCAGTTGTGGCTTGGAATCCCAACCTTGAGGTCGGGCTCAAAACTCTCGCTGTGTCCTTGGGCAAGGCACTTTATCTACGGTTGTCTCTCTCCACCCAGGAGTACAAGTGGGTACCTGGTAGGTTCAAACACAGCCTTCGCAGAATACAGCTGCAACATTATGGAATTCCCCCATGGGGCTTGAGTGTGTGTTCCATATGTGCTTCATCCAGTGATCCAGGGGGTAATAATGTAAGCGCATAGAGATCTCTACAATATGCACTATATAAGTCGACAATTATTATTATTACTTTCTAGTGCGCGGTGCGGCCTGGCCTAACCTTCCTCACAAGTCTAATATTAGCTAGAGCAATGCCACTGTATTGGCTTTCTAGCCACGTCACCACACCCTTTTTGCACAGACAGTGATTTTTGGCTTTTGTTTTAGCCTTTTCACACGTAGTCTCAGCCATTGTTTAGTTTTCAACCAATCGCTAGCAAGTCTCGCCAACCAAAACGTATAATTATTTCACAGTTTTGGGATTTCTGCAGATATTATTCTCCTGAAGACAATTGAAGCAACTCAGTCGAAACGTCAAGATATTCTTAACCAAACAACAGTTCTTTTCAGATCTACGTGGTGTACCGCAAACATTAATATATATTATTACATCGCCATGCAAACCTTCAAACAATATAATGGTGATATTGTACATAACCATGAACACACAAGAAAGACAAATACTTACACATATCTCTCAAGCAATGTTTGACAGTAATTTGTTGAAAAAGTAGTAAATCATCTAAGCAAAGATACTAGAAATACAAGATAGAGTTCTCCACACAAAAAAGTGTTCCACCGAAGTGCATGTTGGGAATACAAACAATGGGACGCCCCCTACAGGTGGATCTAAAAAAACTTCTGCCAAACTTTCGTTACCAAGTGGTCGCTTATTTTATTATCAATTCACTTTTTATTTACTAGATATAAAAACAAACTGGAATAGACACCCAGACAGTGACATCGGTGAATACATAACCTCCTTGGTGGCGGTAAAAATCGTTGCTATTATCCAAATAAAACACAAAACAATTAAAGCATAATCATGAATCAGTAAAGAATAAAACAACAATACAGCGCAGAATCGTATGGCCGGACGCACTCTTAGTGAAAAAGTTTTCCTCCGTTAGTGGAAAAGGAAGGGCGCCTTTTGCGTCTGGATATACTTGGCTACAAAAGGGCGCTAAATATCTTGACGTTTCGACTGAGTTGCTTCAATTGTCTTCAGGAGAATAATATCTGCAGAAATCCCAAAACTGTGAAATGTATGTTGGGCACGAAGTATAGAAAACTTGCATGGTTAAAAAAGAAGAGCGCCGCCTACGTTGGGCACAACTTCCGCCCGTGCAATGCCAGTGCTCTATCTTGATATTTAATTCTGATTTTGTTAGATAATTTCCTCAATAGAGGATGGGCCGATCCTGGAGGTACTGCAATACCAGGCCAACCCGTGGCCAGGACGGAGCAAGCTCCTATTCCATGGCCTAATTTCAAAAATCAGTTTAATATAGAAGCTACTCAATGAGCAGCGTTTCAGATATTAAGCTGAAAAGAACAGATACTACACATGATCTTAGCCAAAAGGCCGAGAAGCGATACTGAAAAATGTAGGCATGAGTATATATATCAAACGCAATGTGTCATTGGAATAGTGTTGAATAGTGCACTAACATATAATTTTCAAAATTTCAAGACACAATAGTTAGAGTAGAATATAATTCTCATTATTCTATTTATTTTTATTATCTTATTATTGTATTATATTAATTTAATAATAAAAGACAAGGCTTATTAGTATTTATAAATAAATTAGAATATTAATTAGCTTCATGCATGAATGATTCTCAATTGCAGCTTTCCCATTGGTGCAAAATCAGTATTTCTTTCACTTTTGTCAGGCACACACTAACTTGACTTGACTTTTAACTAATATTGCTTTAGTAAACCAATTTGGACAAGACTTAATATTAGAATATTAATTAGCTTCACGCATGAGTGATTATTTATTGCCTTTTCGAGACACACAATAAGTTGAATTTACTGTACTTTTAACTAATAATACAGCAGAACCATTCCTTTGGGACATTCCTATTGGAGCTATTAAAGCCAGGAGAATGTGTCTTAAATTTTCTACACCTGAAAATGTGGACCTTTTGTTATTTGGTGGGGGTGCGTTTTTCAAAATAAAAAAAAATGAAAATTACTGTATATCTAAATTTTAGTTTGGTCAGTGCCATTTCCGACTATCTAGAAGTACCATAATAATAAATTTTCATACCTCAGCCCCAACAATAGTGGGGCTTAGGTGGTTTAGACCCTCCATCTGTGAAAACCCCTCCCTGGGTCCCATTTATTTTTAATTCCTGGATCCACCACTGCTAGATATCATTTTAGTCAGCAATATTCCTTTGCACGCTTCTTTATTGGTCGAATATATAAAAAGACATTGTGACCCTTTTTCTACAATAGGCAATACAAGTTCTGACAAATGTTTTAGCTGAGATGCCACTGAACGAAACATTTGATGAGACAGTATCATCGATAGGAGTCACTCCCAAATACTCACAAGAAAACAGAACATCTACACGGCAAGATCATAGAAGTGGTAGTCAAGGTACTGATTAGTCTAAGCAGGCCTAATAATATTAATTATAATAAGAATAATAATGTATTAATAGGGAGTATATATATTGAAAGAATGTTAAAAATATTACAATATTTATAACATTATTTGATTGCCTCTCAGTGACATATTTAGGGGATGTGTTGGGAGTAGGGGGGTAATAATAAATATTAGTGCATAATATAATGATATTGATACAGTGATATGTACCGTATTTATAAAAGATGTATGTTGTCTCTTCTGCTCTAGTTCCTCCACTGGATTTAGGCATAAATAGTGACTCTGAAGACAGTGAGGATGATAGCCAGGGTAGTACTTCTGATAATGGTGTCCCACTAAATGGTAATTATTGTTGATTAGTATTTTGAATGTGATATCTGTCACTTCTTTAAGTCTCCGTTCACACTATCAAATTTTGTGTGACAAATTTGTGTCACTGGTGGTGGTGTTGATACAACACCGCACCACCAACCCTAGGCCATGCGGGACCATCGGCTCGGACTAGCCTAGCCTAGCATAAGCCCAGCCTAACCTAGCCTAGCCGGGCCCGACCAGACCAGGTCAGGCTGGTCCAAACCAGACGAAGCCCCATTGCGTGCGCATTGTCGCGTTTCGTTCTTCATAGCATCGCGTCAGCCGATGACCGCTATTATAATAATAATAATAATTTTTATACAGTATTTATTAAGGTACCTTGAGAAAATAATGCGAGGTATGTCTGAGCACCAAGGAGTATAAATCAATATACACTATATGATTATTATTATTATGCTGATTATGTAAATATTTTTTTAGTGTTACAATAAGCAGGTAATTTTTTAACAATAAAAACAGAAAACGAAGAAAAACCCTAAATGTTTTACCAATAATGGGATAACTATATTATAAATCAATATTAGATTTGAACTCATTACACCACCAACATTGATAAATTGTTAATTTTTTTCTACACTTACCTTATGAAAGTTATAATTCTTTTAATAGAAACTGATGCATATCAGCAGATGATGAGGCAACTCACATTACAAGGTGATGTGTCTGAAGAGATATCAGGACTAGAGGATGATGAAGATGGCACGGACAGGACACTAGACTCTAGGGCTAGGAAATCAGTTGAGGATAGGCCTAGGCATGGCACTCCACCATCTAGTACAAGATCCAAGTAAGAGTTGAGCTCTATTCTGGAGGTTTTTTATTATTTTCTCCTTCCCACTGTGACATTGATTGTTTTGAGGGATCGCCGGGGCATATCTAGAGAAACATCTGGCTAGAGGCCATGCGACATGTGAATCAACAAAAGTTGGGGGTTTAGTGAGACCATACAAACTGGTACATGGAATTTAAATTAAAAATTAGTTTTTGCTTTCTTATATTTTCTCTCTTTCTTTTGGGTTGGGGGGGGGGATTCCCTACTAGATCTGCCCATGGATATTTTAGGTTTTGGAACAGCATTTATGCCTCCTTGTGTTCCATATACCAATAATTATCTCTTGTATAAAGGATTTTTTTCTTCTATCTTGATTTAACTTCAGTAAGGGTAGAAGAAATGTGCTATCATCTCTTGGTGGTATGGGTAGTCTTGGCATATCCTACGGCAATGAGAACAATGAAGACGGGGCACATATAGACACCGGCAGATCCGGAAACAGCGATGTAATCAGCTCCCTGGAGCCAACCCCACGGGAGTCAGCCTACGTTCCATCGGCCATGGATCAGAGTTTAAAGTCTACAGGCAAAAGCGACAAATCAGTGACAAAACGATCGGCTGCATTTTGGGGAAATGAATCCGATATTGAATCAGAATCTGAGATGACCGTTCCCATGGGAACAGGCACAATCCCGATGGGTACCGGTACTATGAAATCTGATGAAGAGTCTATTGATGATTTTGATTTCTATGACTGAAAAATTATTTTAATCAAGGATTTTAATTTCAATGATTGAGAAATATTGCATATCATTTCTCAATCACATTCATAAAATCCTTGATTAAATGAATTTTCATCAATTTTATCGAATTCCTTTATTCTTAATTTTATTTTTTATTTTAATTATCCTGAAGTATCATTTCTATATTACTCTACTTACACTTGTACTGCATTACTAATGTATTATTATAATCTTCTGGTATAATTTATTTTTAAATATTTTTTTTATTATAAGGATGCACCATTAACTTTAAACGCATCACCGATCTGAAGGTGAATATCCAAATAAATAAATAAGTTAAATAAAATTTACCAAGTCTTGAATAAACGAAAATAATGTCCCTAATAACTCTATTAAAAAAAATATTCCCTGACAAACCTTTTGGTCAGTTTTTCGTCAGGTGACCCCTAATTCACTTCCCCTCTAAACATAAGAAGCTCTGTGAGTTAGGTAAATGATAATTTTATATTTACCATATACTGAAATACATTTTATGAAGCATAAATTTTAAAATCTGAATATAGCAATTCACTTATGGATATATTCCTTGCAGAAGTTCAGATTTGCTTGGTAGTTTTCAGTTCCCCATTTCAAATAAGATAGTGCAACATGAAAATATGTGTAACTAGAGCAGTCACTCTATTGAGTGCATACATCCGCCCTGTGCCTGAATACAGTAACAATACACAGGTCGTGTATGATAGTACTGGTACTAGGTATTTATATTGCACTTTTCCCAGAACAGAACTGCAGCACCCTCAATGAAATAATAGAATCACCCATAGTAGCATGCACATTATTTTCTCAAGTGCTGCAACCTATTCTCAGAGGTAATGATATGATAATAGTATAATATATGCCAACCAACCAACCCCGATTAACAAATGTCTCTGTCCTTTGTAGACAAATTCAACAATTTTTTGGGGGCTAACCACTATTTGCGGCAAAAAATGCTACGCCAGTCACTTGTCGCAAATCATGTTTCGGAAATAACGGTTAAAACATGTTGGAATGTCAAAATTTTCGAAATTTATTTTATTGCACTAAACTAACCTTTATATGTGTTTACAGTAGGTCTCTGCCTAAGAAATGTCTGAAATCGTGAACTTTGAAGGCTGCTTTCTTTAAACAGATGTATGTTTAAATTCCTGTAACTTTTAATGAAATGCCAGATTTATATAATTCTTTTATCATTTTATAACCTTCATTTTACTGTATTACCTTGTACTGTATTAATAACTAAAAATCAATTTTTGCAAAGAGTGACTGATTTGGCTCATCTGCCACATTTATGATGTCTTAAGTTTTACTGTATATAATGTTTTCTAAAGTCATAACATTCCAATGGGTAATCAGGCTACTTGCAAGACTTGCCAACACTGAATAGTGTACCACAATATCTACCTTGAGTCACTCTGCTAATTGTATAGCACTATATGATAAACTACTTAAATTATCGGAATACCTTGACAATGTATTTACATTCCGCTGCAAATACTTTAAATTATTCAGCATTAAAACCTACTTTATTTCATATTAATGTTTATTTTGTACTGTCCTAATCATTTTGAGAATGCATGAAAAATATTTTGAATATGTTTTGTATGGTGTGAAATAAACCATGTCATTTAAAAATGGAGTATGTAGTCTGCATTTGTCCTGGTACATTATTCACTGCTGTTACTATTTACAATTATTTGTAGTTGCTCCCAAGCAGCTAATATTAATACTTCTTAAGTTATTAAAAGGTTTGCCTCATTTGCAATGTTAACATTATTTTTGGTGTGCAACTTATCCCAGAGAGTTCAAAGACTTGTTCTTATGCTGGTTAATTGGGCAATGCACTGGTAGACAATCCCCACTGTTGCATTATTTAACATGCGCAGTGCACTGGTAGACAATCCCCACTGTTGCATTATTTAACATGCGCAAGGCAAAGGCTGTATTGCACACAGTACCAATGGCTGAAATGTCTCATCTGTTGTAACAGCCCTCTTTTTATTAGGCCAAACAAAGTTTGTTACCCATGCCCAACCAACTTAAGATCTTGTAAGTTCCAAATGATTTAGCGGTATTTTTACTGTTCAAATTAAATAATTTTTTTACATTTAATGACAGAATCAGAATTGGATTTTCACACAATTATATTACGATGTTCTGAATTTTATAAGTTTATTTGGAAACTTGCTATAAGTAACGGCACATGTTCTCATAGTGCATTCATAAAATTTAGCATAAACAAAATAATAGATCAAGAAAGGGAAAAAAAGGATGTTACACTTATATAATAAATATATGCAGATGGCAGGGGCCTTTCTACTTTTCCATCAGCTTCCACCTATTCGCTTTCCAAATTCTTGCTTCATTTTTAAGCTTTCCTTTAATTCCTGAATTCGATCGTCAATATCACTTATGGTGACACCAAATCCTTCTCTGTTCTCAGCTTCAAACTTTGGTTTCTTCACAGGTGAGCACTGCAGAAAATAAGCGGTAAAATCTGTTAATAACCACTTAAAGAATATGCTTTACATCAGGGTATTTAAGAATTATGAATACAAAAATCAAAATAAAATAATGAAAACTAAGAAATTAATTATAAATAAATGAGACTGCACAACATTCAATTGTAATCATTATCAATAATTGTGCAGAATCAGACTCGAGCGCAAGCACCTCATTCATTGTGAGTTACAGCAAAGAGTATAAATAGAACAAGAGAGCAAAGTCCTGTTCGTAAAAACGTCATGCCTGTGTAGGACGCCCACTAACTGTTGTATATTCTTTTTATTACCCAGTGCAGCGCTGCGCAGCGCGGTAGAAGTACGCGCGCTATAAACTCGGTAAGCAGAAAACGAAAGTACAGTATCTTGTGGAGAACAGATAAACAGACAAACCTACCGTGCGCGGTGGAGTACTGGGTAATAAAACACATACAAGCGTTAGTTGGCGTCCTACACTAGCTGAGTATGGGCGTATCGTTTTTTTACGCTCTCAATGAGCATTGTTGGCTCTCTTGTTCTATTTATACTCTTTGGTTACAGGGAGTACTGTATTGCTGCAATTAATTCCTCATCAAACTTGAGAAAATGTTGGTGAAGTCTCAACCGTCAAAAATGTTTCTTTTGTTATTCTATCTATGGATATAAAATTCCGAAATAAAAGATGAAGTGAAAATCAATGAAATAAAAAACAAAAACAAAAAAAAACCTCAAACTAATGAAAGTGTAGTTGGTCCTCCACCTTCACTTGAAAACTTGCTCTCCTCATAAGTATTTTATATGTATATGGGCTTTGACATTCTATTCAAATTTTTTTATTAAATCGATATACAATAAAATTGTTAATTAATGTATTTCATATTTCATATCAATATAATTACCGCTGAAAAGTATTCTGGAGAGGTTCCTTCTAATTGGAGAATCCTCTGTTCCATTACTTTAAGCCGTGAATAAATGTTCTTTGGTACTTGCCCTAGAGAAAAAAAAAAATGCTGCACTTACAAACACTTGTTAATACTGATGTCGAATGGCCAAGCGGTTGAGGCAGGGGTGCCGCAATCTACTGCCATAATAATCGGCGCTGGTTTGAACGGCACGCTTGCCTGTGGTTCTAGAGGTGGAAAAAGTCTTCTCGGATAAGGACTATAAACTGTAGGCCCAGTGTACATAATTGGTTTACATGCACTTCAAAGAACCCAGTTAATCTTTCGAGACGAGTAAGTGGTTACCCCGGTGTACGGGTCCATACAGCCCCTGTTGCGGACAGATGAGAGTAGCTGACACCAGTTTACCGGGTAGCTCAGACAGGAAGATACCATTTGGGGAGAAGAGAGTCACTGTCCACGCTTCAAGCGCTTTGAGACTTGTGTAAAGCGCCACTGTATATAAATCCAAGTATTTATTACATTTTATCAGTAATATTTCAGACATCTTTGCAGTTGTGCAACAAATAGAAAAAGAACAGAAAAATAAAATATAGATCTTGTAACCATATTTTATGTATCATTTAAAATCTTAAGGATAGATGCATACTGTACCTCCAAATTTCAAAATATTCAACCTATATTAAAATGTTGCATGCTGAGGTAGGATCATTCAGCACCTTAGAGCTGTGTCCACACTATCAAATTTCATGTAAGAATTTTGTGTGATGTGCCCATATATGGGAATGATATTAATATCTGATGCCGAGAAAAAGTAAAATTTATGTTGTCAAAGTCCAGGCAAAGGAAAATTAAGAAAGAGAGAGTAGATTGATACGATTGATATTGTGTTTAAAAAATTGAATATTATAAGCAAGAAAAACATGAGGTGGAAGTTTATTCCAAAGGACAGAACTTCAATGAATGAATAAATCGGAATGGGATGTCGTATTACTCCCAAATATGGGCATATCACATTTTTTAGATGGTGTGGACAAGGCTTAATATAATTTTGGAGACTGCACACCCAATATATAATTATGGTAATTTTAACATGAGCATGTCTTAAGCCACAATCGTACGGGACTTATTTCGCTAAAACTAACCGACACACCGGTTAGTTCAGTCACAAAAAGTCTTGTGCGAACAACCTAAGAAGTTTTCCGGTCAGGAAACTTACCCGAGTCGAAGGTTAGTTTCACCGAGTCAATTGTGCTCAGGAAAAATATTGGAGTGAATCTGACCGGGCTAGATAGTCCAATGCGAACAGCGTGACTCGGTTAATCTTCCGGGGTCACTGAAGTTGATGACATTTTATCCCTCTGTTGGGCAACCACACATGCGCACAATTTCAACTCACAATTTTGCACGACACGAACCTGTTTTGAATATTGTTTTGATTCTGCTTGTTGGTATTGTTGTAACTAAATTTATATCATCGTTTCTACTTTTACTCGCCTGCATTATTACTATTGGAGCATGGCTGATTTGATTGAAATTGTGAATGGTTTGTTTAGCTTTCCTAGGCCCAACAATCAAATTCGTACTCGCAGTAGTAGTAGTAGTCTAGTAGGCTTAGGTTTTATCCTCACTGACAGGAAACTTAACCGAGTCAAAAATACAAGTGCGGACAGACGATTTCACCTTCGGAGTGTGTTAACCAGTGTCTCGGTAAAATCTTCCCCTTTTTAAACCAGTGCGACTGCAGCTTTAGCTTGAACTATGTTTTAACATGAGCATGTCTTAGCTTAACTATGTTTTAATACTGTATGAGCACGTCTTAGCTGAACTATTTTAACTAAATTACCTAATTAAATTGATTGCTTTGTCTTTTGGTTAAAAACAGTTACATTTAAACAATTTAAAAATAACACATAGTGTACATACCATGTTTCAGTTTTATGTGTGTTTCTATGTTTTTGAGTCTTTCTTCAAGGCTACTAGGCAACTCATGACTTGATTGGCTTGTGCTGCTTCTTGATGCTGATTGGCTGGTTGTTGATTGGGTTGAAATGAAGGGTCGAGTCTGTGGTCCATTCGGATTAACAACTCTCGAAACTTTACAGAGAATTTGGGGGGTTATGTTGTTATACATGATAAAATGTTGAAGATTAACATATTATTAGTATATTTAATAACATGGGATAAACATTACCAATTGTAAACATATTAGTACTGTCTTATGTCACAATACATTTACACAAAACATGGATTGATGGATTTATTCAATGTAAATACCAAGGATAACACACAAAAGTCTGAAGAAGGCTTATATCCAGTAGGGTGCTTCTGGTGGTGATTGGGCAGTACACCGGGAGACAATTCCCTACTCTTTTTTGAAGAATGCACTGTGTTCTGTAACATGCACATGGACTATAATGCGCATAGGACCAAGGGCTTAAAACGTCTCATCCGAAAGACGGTGCGCTATCGTAACTTGTATCTTAACCCTCCAGCTGAAACACAAGGAGAGCAGCAATGGGAATTGAACCGCGGACTTAGAAATCTCCACGGTTCAGTGCACATACAGGTGCTACTATCAGTTTAGCCGACTGCGCTAAGCTGCTCTCTCTTAGGAAGTGGCTCCGTCAGTAAACCGGGGAACAGTCCTTGATCGTTTCAGAATCATGTTCCATGTTCTTAATTTAATCCATTATATACAAGGCACCAACAACTTCTTGTCCCATCCAAAGGAGGTAGTTAGAAGGCGATTAGTGTGATATGTCCCACACACCCCACGCATCCCCCCCCCCAAAATAAAATGATAATAATCACCAATGTGATCCGTACCTTTCACATGACTTTTACAACCATTAACAGGCTTGAATACTGCATCAGTTCTTGCACAAGACGATTTAATTTCATGTTCAGGTGAAATAACAGAACAAAATTCACGTTTGTTGTTGTCATCAACATCCACTTGCTTCCTTTCAATGAATGCTTTTATTCGTCTGTCAATCTACACAATTGGGAAAAATTTAAAATAAGTAATTCATTATTTCTGTACATTTTAAGAAGCCTACATTATGTAACAGTGCTCCGTTTTATTACTAGCTTTTTTTTTTCTGTCTGGAAACAGACCAGATGTTGACATAAAAAAATGAAATGCGGCTTATACAAAAAAAAAAAAATTGTCATCTATAAAGTTGTACTGTGAAAGAGTGACATCATTTCCTAAATGCAAATTTTACATTTACCTTGAATATAGCTGTATCGTCTGTATTTTATGTGGTTATTTTCTTTTCATCCATGCCTATAATGCTGTTATTAATTTCAAATTTAGGATAATATTTACTAATAGCAGATTTTGCTATCATACATATTAAATTTCTACTTACAAATAAGGCCACTAAGATTTTTAAGACCACCTGGAAACCTTCCTTTTGAATTATATTTCTATCACATCCAACAGCAAGCCAGGGGTATATGCTAAGGGGTGGGGGTGGGGGTTGTGAAAATTTAGAATGTGGAACTAATCCCTAATCTAATGATCATTTTCAGTATTTTAATCCACTTAAGTGAAACTAATTTGCCACTATGGGGGGGGGGGGGGGGAAAGGGTTGTGTGCGCACACCCCCTCTTCGAGCTTACTCCAATGCAATTGAATACACAAATGATGCTCTATAAACCAACTCTTGATGAGGCTTAGGGAGTGAAGTTGTATTTATGGTAACCTTTATCACCCCACCCCACCCCACCCCACCGCCCCTTTTCCTGGTGACCTTCCAAATATAACTACAACTGACCTCATCTTTGGAAGCAATTATTTGAACAAAGGACGGATCTGTGACATATACTGGTTTTTTGTCGACAGGTTGAAGGGTTGATCCTGAAGACTGCTGTGGTGGCGCTGTCTCTTCATCCGCAACACTGCCAATCTCCGACTTAAATGTCTCAACAAGTTTCTAATAAAATTGATACAGGAGCAATAGCTAAGATTTATAATCAATCATATTATCATAGTGTACATATACAGTACTTACACATTTTCTAACAAATAATAACTACTTTAAGACACAGTGCCCAAATGTCCAGGTTTTAAAGTATAATGTTAAAAAACACATCAAAAAGTGAAATTTGGATTTATTGCCATATTGTGCAGAAATGTATTTTAACCTATTCCATTTCAACATCTAAAATACAAAAACAAAACACAAATTAAACATATGTAATTGAATTTGGAGGATGACATTAAAAATTCGGAAAACATAATTCCATCAACATGAACTAAAAATTTGGGTTGGGCGCTGGGATGCAGCACCACTCGACTTTAACTACAACATGTTAATGGATACATATAGATACAAACATGTTTGTTATCTCGCTTAACTCTCAAGGTGAGGGTTATTCGAGGAGCCCAGACTTCAATCAAAACCTGACGCTGGCCAGGTTTTAAACAGGGTCTTCAGCAAAAGAAGCAGCAACAATACAGTACCTCTTGGCCAACCACTCAACTTAAAGAGGTTATAATATATAATCTGTAGTCTGTTGTATATTCTTGTTGACCTTACCTGTATATCTTGGGATAGGTCTGTCATGTAATCACACAAGTCCTCAATTGACGAGGTAACCAAAGATAGTTGATTGTAGTCGACCGTTAAGGACACGCAGTGGTTCAATTTAGCCTGTAATTATACATAAAATCCTCAAAATACTTCTAAACTAAATCAACATTTTCTGGTTATTTCTCTTCTCTTAGTATAATCAGAACATTTGCTAGAATTTTTGGAGGAGCATGCACCCCCTGCGCACCCCCCTAGATATGCCACTGAATGCTAATAATACAAAAAATAAATACATTTATATTTCATTTAAGAACAATGGCAAACAATAAAATTAAATATTAATGGTATCAATTTTTTCAAATGTTCTCTTGGAGTTCTCTTTATCCCATTCACATTTCACTCTGGACCAGACTTTGTATATTTTTTATCGCTGTGGCTAGCGATACGGTACCATATCTTATGTTCCATTTGCTAAATTGCATCATCCCATAAAATGCCGCCAACAGTGTGATGTCACTGTTCATAAAAACTTGTGAAATCGCTCGCTGAATGCAGAGGAAGTTGGTGAAGTAACATTTAGTGCTTTGTCTTGAATATGAATTAATCCTATTTTGGCATTACATTACATTTAAAAAATATTCAACAAAAATAAGCATACAAGTATTTATTTAAAGTAACAGGCCTACCCATTTTATTTACAATACAAATCTGAAGCCTGCCGAGTCATTGATTCATGTTTCCAAAAACAAATGCAGTATAAAATTTGAAAATGCCTCAGCTACGGACCAATTAAAGACAATCTTCTTTCACATGTTCCATAATCAAGTAATTTTTTTAGCGATTGTTAATGTTAGTAGCTTACCACTTAAAGAAACATTACTGTATGTTAACGTAGCAACTATACTGTATAATACCAAGACTGTAAATAACAGTGTTTTTGCCTGATAACATTTGATTTAACTTGATGTGAAAGTATAACTAGAGAGTTGTTCTTTAACAGCTCCCTGCTAAAAAAAACATACATGCCATAAAAAATGTTGAACTATTGAATCCTAAAGCGATGGTGTGTATTACATTTTGATTTGAATTTTATTGGGTTCACTTTTGAATCAATTTCGCCCATAATATTAGTGATTGTGCACCCAGAATACAAATACACTTACAAAACAAAAAGAAGTTACTAAACTAAATCTAAAACTATTCAAAATGCTATTATTTATAACACTGTAATTATTAGTTACATAACTAATGGAGTATGTAGTATACACATTAGGTGAGGTCAAATGTTGCATTATATCAGGAAAAGGTAAAATTATTATACCATCCTTTCTCATACTAAAGCTTTACACATTGATATTTTATAGTCTTGGCTATTGTACAGTAAGGTGTTACGTAATACAATGTATCAATGTGAATGATGTACTAACAGTCACTAGTTTAAAGTTAACAACTCTGTTGGTTTACTTTATGTAAAATGCGATAGAAGATTGCCATTAATTGATCTGTTGTCATGGCATTTTTAGTTGTATTTACTGTATTGATTTTTGGCAAGTTGCTCAATTACGGACTTGTTTGAAGTTGTCTTATGTCGCTTATAAAACAAGTCGGCAGAAAAGCAAGCGATTTTTGAACGATGTTGTCAAGTTGGCAGCGGCATTTTATTGGATAATGCAATTTACCATACCTTTAAGCAAACAGAATTTAAAATAAGGTACTGTATCACCAGCCACAGAACAGTGTTCTTTTAATATGTATGTGAAGACCAAAAAATTAATGAATGTGTTAAAAATAATTTATCAAATAAAAATATTAATTAGGCTATAGGCCTAGGCCTACCATTACTATTAGAATATAACTGTTGACATTTCTTTAAACTAATAATTGTTATAAAAAATCTAGCTTTTAAGCAAGGAGAAAGCGAAATAACAAAACAAAATCATTAACTTTTCAAAGTGTTACATTTGGTTAGGCCTAGGTTTAGAACTGAGTAATAGGCCTAGGCCAACAGCCTGGCCCAAGCAGTACTGCTGGCCTGCAACGGATGTGTGTAGGCCTAGCCTAGGCTAGTCATCACACCCTAGCCTATCCATCGACCAGGCCTAGCTAGGGCCTAGCCTGGAATGTTTGGTTGGGGTTTGGTTGACTTGCTAACCTCTGCAAAAAACTTCAAGAAAGCCTGAATAATGTCCACGACCTTTTCTGCCATTCTATATATCTAAATAAATTATACCGAGATCAAAACAACAATGTGTTCACGATGAAAAATGCAGAGAGGAACAGAAAATTCTATCTGTTGTTTACTACAGGCTCTCTGTAAACAACGGTACACATAATTGGCGGCTCACGGGCCGGAGACTTAGTTTTACCATGGAGGTATTATTGAGAAGGAGATCACTCGGCAAAGCTACGCGCACGCAGCGCTATGCAAATGAACCAAGATCAAAGTTGCCGCAGCGCGTAAAGAACGTTTGTGCGATGCCTTTGAAGTCCCATGTGTTCCCCGCCATCAAAATTTTCAATAGGCATAGTTGACCAAAAAATTGAACATGACGAAATGGAGAGCACCTTCTTTTCTCAATGCGCACTACATACTGTCAATCACTATGGCTGCGCAATCTTTTTTATTTTGAAGCTGATACATTCATCCTGTCTCTTATACACATCTAGATGTGTATAAGAGACAGGTATTATTTAAAAGAAATAAAGATATTTAATGGGTTAAAATCAAACGTTTTATTGCACAACTGCTCTGCTGGAAGCGTATAAATGCATGTCGTTTCCAAGTTGTTGCTAACGAAAGAATGTGAATTATAGGGTAATACGCCCGCGCGCGATCCAAAAGCGGGGAACACATAGGTTTGTCGCGTCAAAGGGATCTGTTGCCGAGTGATCTCCTTCTCAATAATACCTCCATGGTTTTACCACGTTTATAGAAGTGTGGTGACCCCAAAAAAACATAACAACAACCATTGAAGAGCTAGCGTTTTGGATGGATGGAATCCAGGCCAAAAAGCACTATTAAGTGGGAAAATGGCAACACCAACAAAGGTAATAATTCATAGTGTATATAAAAGATAATGGTCGTGTTCGTGAATGATTGTCAAATGCTTACTCTTACTCATCTAAGCCTAGGCCTAGTAGTAGAAAAGGAGGAGATGTATCATGTATTGTAGGCCTTTTGAGAATTTGGCTTCCTTTTTTTGATTGATTGTCAGTACATCAGTAGGCCTAGTAGTAGTTGATGATAGGCCTAGATATAGTAGTTTACCTGCCAACCAAGGATATTACTACTACTCTCTGTCAGACCCCACCCAGCCCTAGCCTACCCTACGCAGTACTACTGCCTTCTTGGCTTCACTTCAAATTGGCGTACTATAACTATACGGGTGAGCAGGAGGGTCCCCGGGGGGAAAAAGCTTGCACCTCTCTCTCTCCAGTCACCATTCCCCCTCCCCCCACCCATTGAAATGCTTAAGCAAGTAGTTAAAAATGACCTCAAAACTAAATTCCCAGGTCCAACTAATAGTACTGTACATCCTATTTATGTGCCTCTGACTTGAACGTAATTTACTAACTTGTATTTTTCCCATTATTTTTTTTAATTATAAAATTGGACAATTTTTTTTATATGCAATTCATTTTTTTTTTTTTCAGATGGAGTTTGCTGTCAATATGACATGCATGAGTTGTAAATCAGCCATAGAAAATGCTTTGAAAAATAAACCAGGTGAAAAAGGAATTCCTATCCTATTTTGCATTCAACAATAAAATTTTATATTTATTTTCTCCTCTGTCTGGATGATTTTGGCTAAACTATTTGCTAAATAGGAAAACAAAATTTTATTTTTATCCCGCTCTCCTCTGATTATCTTTAAAAAATTAAGTATGCGAAACAAGGAATAAAGAAAGTCTCGCCTAAAATAGGTAGAATTGCAAGTGCTTTAAATATGGGGTACAGGACCCTCTGTTGGGAAACGCTGGATTCATTGTTGAGGAAGAAAGTAATAATTAATATCGGGGAAAATTTCTTTCTAGAAGCATTTTCACAGTCTGTGAATGTCATTTTCAGACTAATAGAGGTGCCTATATTACAGTGGGAGAGATTCAAGTGGCCCCAAGTTTTTCAAAATCATGAAAAAATGTAGAAAAAAAGAAAACAATGTTCAAATGTAAGTCTGGAAGTGCCATTTCTGGCCACTTATAGGCGCAATAATCATAAATAAAAATTTCTGGGCCCCCTCTATTTCAAAATTCTGGATCACCACTCTATTGAGTGTTTTTTCCCCTTTTTTGGGGGGAGGGAGTGGGGTAGATAACCATATTCACACATCATATTAACCATAATTCCATTTGACAGAGATAAAGTCAGTTTCTGTGAACCTAGGCGATCAGCAAGTAGTAGTCGAGACAACTCTTACAACATCAGAGGTAAAGAATCTGCTGGAGAGCACAGGGAGAAGAGCAAACTTGAAAGGCCATGGATCAGCTGAGCCAACTACATGTACGATCAAATTTTAATAATGATAGTGATAATGACAGTAATAACATTAATGTATAGTAATAATGTAGTAGAAAGATTGTATTGCAACAGCAATACAACAATGTAGAAATATTAATAATACAGTTAAACTTGAAGTTTTGCTTTGCCTAAGTTAATTTCCAAGTCGATCTTATTTTACATGCTAAATTGTTGTGTTTTCCATTAATTAATGATCTGTTAATCAAAATTTATCTAAGTTAAACAGTTTTTCAATGCCATTTTGGATTCGACTTTAGGCAAGTTAATCTGTAATAGCTAATGATACTAATAAGAAATATAAAAATTGACTTGATAACCCAGCCGCCTTTAAGGCCATCTCAAAACTTTTTTTTTTCAACGCAGCTCAACATGATTTATTTACGCGTGGTGCCTGTGTGTGAGTTAACAGCAGTTGTCATGAGAGTGCATCGGGGGCATTCACATTAAAGAATAATAATATTCTCATGATGATCGAGGCTGTCCACAATGATAAATGAAGATGTTGGCATCTTCTTGAAATTGATAACCTCTTTGACATGTCTGACTGAAATGGTTAGGTAGTGTGATAACAAAAGTCCAAGTCTAATTAAAGAAATTAGGCTTTATAAATGTCTTGTTTAATTGTTTTTGTTTAGCTGTCAAACATCTTGGGGCCGCTGTTTCGATGCTGCAAGGTCCAAGCTGCGTAGAGGGAGTAGTTCGTTTCCTACAGGCAACAGAAAACACATGTATTATTGAAGGAACTCTAGACAATTTGAAGCCTGGTCCTCATGGATTGAATATCCATGAATTTGGTGACTTATCCAATGGATGTGAAAGGTCTGTGATACAGTAAATAGTTTCTTCACTTTTTAAAAATATTTTTTTTTTTTTTATATTAACTGATGATGATAATGGTAGTTATTTTGATGGCATTTAAAAAAAATATATTTAATGTTGATATATTTAAATATAAAAATAAAGATGTTTGTCTACTTTCTAATTCCGTAATTCTTGGTTTAAATTTAAAACAGTTTTATCTCACAACTAAAAACTAACTCCAACTTATAAGCCTCATGTTAGCATAACATTTATTTGCAGCTGCGGTCCTCACTACAACCCCTACAATAGCAGACACGGTGCCCCAGGGGAAAATGAACGGGTGAGTTTTTATCTATACTACTACCCCGAATACATAATAATCATTATTCATTATATATAATTTTTTTGGGGTGTGTAGGGAATTTAACTACTAAGCCCCATCATTTCTTATTACTTTGTTGTTGGATTGCACTCAGCATGTAGGAGACCTAGGAAACATAGTTGCTGATGAAAATGGTAGAGCTACTTTCCGCTTTGAAGACGACAAGATGAAGGTTTGGGATATAATTGGACGATCTGTGGTGGTTCACGACGCCGAGGATGATTTGGGACGAGGACTTGCTGCTGAATCTAAATTGCATGGTAACAGTGGAATTGGGTAAGATAATCATATCAAATATTAATTTGAAAAGTAACACACATTGAAATTTTAGCTGATAAGACTGAGCCATACATGCAGTAGCATATTTAGTAGTCTTGAAATGGGGGTCGGAGGCTAATCTTTACTAATTAGTACAATTCATGTATTAATAATATATTACAATTTAAATAAGTAATATATATGTATATATATATATGTATATATATGAATATATAAAAAAGGTTAAAATAAGTATGAATGCACAAAGTAGAAACATATATGTTGACATAATAGACATGAACAAGTTTTTATTTTGAATATTTCAAGCACTCCTGTGCTCTTCCTGAGCAATAACATGTATGATTAAAAAAGCTTTACAGACTAGCAAACAGGGATAAACAGTATAGCCGTGTGACTGTGATAAATTGTAAATGATGCGTATAATTAAAGGCGGATTATAATGGGCAGTAGCAACAAAGAAGATAAATATAAACGAAAGCCTAATCTGCGAACTGTCCTATGATCTCAATAGCCCGAGACAATGATAATAAAAATAAAATCTATATCTATATATGAATCATTATATTAATAATTACAATGAGCCATATATGAATTGCCTATGTATTTATCACACTATTTTTGAACAATATCTTTATTAATCATAATTATCCATGTGAATTCTAATATTTCAGCCTTTCGTGCGGAATTGTTGCAAGATCTGCTGGGCTCTTTCAGAATCCGAAGAAGTTCTGCCAGTGCGATGGCGTGGTCATCTGGGATGAAAGAGATGTGCCACTTACAGGGCCAAGAAGACAACAACAGAGTTTATTATAACAATCATGCAATGAGAAAGGATAAAAAGAAATTGTACAGAAGGTATATTAATAATTAATAAATGAGAATAACCATATGATTTGTCTGTTTTGTTGGGATTTTTTTGTTCAGTCTCTTTTTGTTCAGATTTTATTTTCAGTCTCTCTAATTTATTCGATCACTTTTTGTTATCCAAGGTTTTGTTTCTTCTTCAGGATAGGTTAGATTAGTCACCAGTATCGCTAGAGCGCCTCTCAGTACTGTACTGTTCCAGCTGGCAATGTGCCTCAAATTGCTGGAAAACAGTGCAGTGTTACTGGGTTTTTCTTAATTTGATTCTTTGGTAAATTGTCTCTGCTTAGTTTTAGGATAGTTCGTGGGTTAGCTTTTCTTGATGACGATTTGTAATTGTGTGAGGCTATATAAGAAGTCGATTTCCATTTCTATTGTCTTGTTTTTTTGTATTTAATTGTACATTGACTGTAACACTGTTTTGTTAATTGATGTCAATAAAAGAATCTCAATCTGTTGGTGGTGGCATTTTCATTATAATGATGATGATAATGGCAACGACGACGATCAGGAACGGATAGAATTCTAGAAAGGGATAGAATGGGAGGATCAGGGAACCCCTGCATGCAGGCTTGCTACTGCTCAGTAGCGGCGCCAGGATTTTCCCGACGGGGTGTCCAAGTTCCCTGATGGGAGGTGGGGGGGGGGGGCGCTGAAAGTTCCCTGATGGGAGGTGGGGGGGGGGGGGCGCTGACGTCCAAGACGAGAAAAGATGTGGGCGTGGTCGGGCGTCGCTAAAAACCTTTCGAAATTGGTCCAGGTGGGAAAACCCCCGAAAATATGAAAATTTAGGGGTTTTAAAAGCTTATTTAATCGATTTTGGAGTAAAAAATACATAGAATTTTTTTTTCTCCCAAACGAATTATGGTTTTCTCCCCGACGGGGTGGGGGAGGGGAG